ATAGGGGTGGAAACGAACCATTATGATTAAAATTGTTTAGGAAAATGCTAGCACAGCAAGATGATGACTTTTGACAGGTGTCAATCATGGTTTTGTGAAAAAATCCAAATAGGCTTTTTTAAAAGTGAAAAAAAAGAAAGAGTTTTACTCACAATCATCCGAAAAGTGTTGTTGCAAAACAGATTCATCAATTTCTGCAAATATTTCTTCTGCTGAAGGCAGCGAGAAATTAATTCCCGGCTCGCTGACTTGGTTGATGCATGTCATCCCATTGCGTGGATCGATGCTCATGATATTAATCACTGGATTGTCTGGTCCAGACTCGAATATTTACAGACCGCCGTCATATAGCTGGAATATTGCTGAGTGAGGCGTTAAACAACCAACCAATCTGAGTCATGGCGTTCATGTTAATTAGTATGCGCGCACTCAGCAATTTTCCAACTATATGACGGCGGTCTGTATAAATAATAGAGTCTGGACCAGGCAATCCAGTGATTAATATCATGAGCATCGATCCACGCAATTGGGATCGATGAGGTCAGCGATCCTGACCACCCGATCCCGTCAGTCGCCTTTTACGATAAGTTTAGTCACCTTTTACGGCAAGCAAGGGTTGCTGAAGACTTGTTCTACCCCGGAATCTTCACAGGCCCGGCGTTAAACAATAAACCAATTGCAACCAATAAACAACGGAATTTAACAACCGTACTTACGTTCACATAATTCACACTCCAGGGTTTACTTGGTGTATTCCTCAATGATTCAACATTCCTGTTTTTATCTCCTGGAATGCTCGTGTCCGATTTTTCACCCTTGCTGGAAAAACAGCAATGTTCCACATTATTACCAAAGTCAAAACTAGAAACCAAATTCAATAAACATATATTTATAGTCTATCCAAAAAGAAGACATAGTGTATAATTGCCTAAAATTAAGGCAATGTAAATTTAAATTTTATGTAAATTTAATCTCCTCATGTATATTATGTCGGATCGGAAATATCGCAGGCGCCAGATATATGCAACAAAATAAACAAGTGAGTATCATAATAATTCTAAAAAAAACCACCGAACGTAATTTTGTTTCAATATCATACATTACTCCGGTCTGAAAAGAATGGATTCTTAGCCTGACAAACCAGCGATTGATATCGTCCAACAACCTCGGTCCGAGTACAATGACACACCTTCAACCTTCATTTTGAAACAAAACATTCAACATGGAATATTGGGGACCTATTCTGAACCAGAATCAAGACGGGAATGGATGTTATAAAAAAGGCATTGTAACTAATTACGACTTACATCTTCATCGATTCGCTGTTTATAGCTACAGTACGATAACGATCACCATTTTCTCTCGAACCCGTGAAGATCTGGGGTAGAATAGATCTTCAGCAACCCATACTTGCCGTAAAAGGCGACTATGCTTGTCGTAAAAGGCGACTAACGGGATCGGTTGGTCAGGCTCGCTGACTTGGTTGATGCATGTCAACGATCCCAATTGCGTGGATCGATGTTCATGATGTCAATCACTGGATTGTTTGGTTCAGACTCGATTATTTACAGACCGCCGTCATGTAGCTGGAATATCGCTGAGTGCGGCGTTAAACAACAAACCAGCCAACCAACTCTCTCTCAACGTCAAAACGTTTCAGAGAGACAAGTATCATATGAAATGTATTTGTTACTACGTCTATTGAACATAATATAGTACAACAGCGTTAAATATACATCTGTATAATAGTTCATGGCAACATATGGAGATCGAAAACCGAACGAATATGGTTGCTATCAATTTCATTGTATTTTTTTTTGCCTTGGTGTACATTAGCTACACCTATCTCACCTTAATAAATCAATAAACGATGACCAACTCACTGACAACGTATTGTAATATCTTTCGACAATCGACAAGCTTATCACCACATCACCGAGGACCACAAATACCCCGTTATAGCGCGCGACAAGAGACTCGTTTTTCATTAGAAGGGACTCGGACATATTTATCGGAAAAAGACGAATTGATTCTTTTGTGGAAATATTAAAAATACCATCGTGACACCTGTTTCCGTGGCAATGAATGTGAAATAAATCGTTAACACACTCACCGTCACAGGACCCGTGAAGATCCGGGGTAGAATACGTCTTCAGCCACCAATCCTTGCTGTAAGAGGCGACTAACAGGATCGGGAAGTCAGGCTCGCTGACTTGATTGATGCATGTCATCGATCCCAATTGCTCATGATATCAATTACTGGGCTGTCTGGTCCAGACTCGTTTATTTACAGACCGCCGTCATATAGATGGAATATTGCTGAGTGCGGCGTTAAACAACCAACCAACTCTCCATCTCACAATTTAATTACAAGGAGACATAATTTTCTCCACAAATGCCTCCGTATCGGCTGCTGTAGAATGGTGGCCATTTCTAATCAACTTGTAGTGACGTCACATGAACACGAAGTTTCGTATCATTTACAGTTTATGACTAATAATATTAATCACTGGATTGTCTGGCCCAGACTTGATTATTCAGAGACAGCCGTCATATAGCTGGAATATTGCTGAGTGCGGCGTTAAACAAAAAACAACTACAGTTTAGGATCATGACCATCACGAACATCCTTATTCTTCTTGTTATCTGCAAGGCAGACCGTGATTTATAAACAGATGTGGCAGCCAGTAGAAGAAGAGTCGCAGCAGCCCGACCGTGATGATGATGAAGAACCACACGACAGCTGTTTTCAGTGTATGGGGCCTAAACCCGGAGATTTTCTGTAACAGTGAATGAGTGAGTTAATTTTACACCACAGGAACTGAGGGTCTCACGGACTGAAAAACAGATCATGTCGGCGAAGAAAGGAGACGTCACAACAGTATGTTGGAAGCACCCTGTGTCCACAAATCACATGCACTGTCGCAACTTAGTGAACTCAACATGTGGACATCGCTTCAGTTCAACTGGTTGAAACTTTCCACACACGCAACACTTGACGTCAACATCGTTGATAGATTCAGAATCTGATTGATCGTCGCTTGAGACAAAGAGCTTATCAATCCCAGATGGTCCAGGTTGTTTGGGCGACACAACAGTGGGACGTATATCATTTTTCCTAATATTAACCTGCTCATCCTTGTCTCATGTAGACTTGCCAGTCGTCTTATCAGTTGTCACTTTATTTGTCTTGGCTTTGCAGTTGATGCTGATGCCTTGCTTCCTAATTTTGTCGTGTTTTGAGATGAAATATCTGGTTCAGTGATTGCTTGCGCACCAAAGATCTTATTGATAGAACGTCTTTGCTTCGATTTCTTGATGGTAACAACAGGTAGATGATCTTCAAAATAATTTTAATCTGATGGCTGTTCAACGATGTCAGGATCTGGAAGGACACGTGTAACTGACGTTTCTGATGCTTTTTTCACCTGTTGAAACTGTGCAAACGTACAGATGGCTTCATGTCCCGAAAGCGCTGTACCGACAGAAATCTCGTACGCCTTACAAGGAACAGACGTTATATCTGTTAACTGCTCCAGATATTGACCGCTGCCACTTCCTACATTCAGAACTGAAAATCTTGGTGAAAGGCCTAAAGCACTTAACATCAATATATAATTAATCGGCTGGCGAACATAGCTTTTGATGTGAGACCCGTGGCCGTCATATAGCAGCAGAGTTTTCTTGTCACTTCTGACTTTGGCACACTTCACAAAATGGCCTGTTAAATATCGTTGAAATATTTCTGTATTGGACCATCCTGTCTCGCTAACAGTTCTACATGTTCCAACTGTCGATCCAGCTAAGAGCTAGATCATCGCACATGCATGAACCAGGGAAAATGAAAAAAGTGGAATCTTCAGAGCCAATGCATTGCCGCATCCAAAAACAGTGACCGTAGAGGATTTCAACTTGAACCACGTCCGTAGATCAACCGATTTGCGATGGATAATGTGCGAGATTAATTCCGTTACCCGTGAAGATCCGGGGTAGAATAGGTCTTCAGCAACCCATGCTTGCATGCATCAACCAAGTCAGCGAGTCTGACATCCCGATCCCGTTAGTCGCCTTTTACGACAAGCCGAGCCGCCTTTCACGGCAAGCATGGGTTGCTGAAGACCTATTCTACCCCGGATTGTCACGGGTCTTGTCCCCCTGAAAGAGTAAGTAAGTTCAACGTCCCCCTGAAAGAGTACAAAAGTTCAACATCATTCAAAGCACATTTGGGTCTACCCCATTTTTAATCGTAGTATATTTATTAGTTTTAATTGATAGCGACAATTCACTATAAACACCAGCGGCTGAAGGCTTGGTGTAAATCATGCTGGGGAGCCGTGCAGGTAGCAGAAGTATTGTAAGTCCCCACGGTCCCCAGTACATTGGCCTATCATTGGTTGCTGGCGATTTCTAGCCCGTTTTTATCAAGGTTTGTTATGTACAGTAAAATCATTTTATCGTCACATACTAGTTTTAAATATGTCTGTGATACGCCGATGTCAACCACAACCCAGACGTTGCAGCTGTTGGCTTTTGCGTTGCAGGCCGAGTGGCAGGATGTGATTCGCATACTCGTCTCTTCCATGGCCAGGAGCTGCCAGGCCGCTATCGATTCCAACGTGAGACATAAGCGTTATTGATGGACTTTTCCGATGTACCGATAAGTGAGATGACTAGCTACAATCACCAAATGTTCTCACAACATTATGGCTCAATACCTTGTACGGTTCGTATAAATGTATTTTCCTACCTCGCACAAATCTGGCTTAGTGTTTCTTTTTTTGAAGGGTATATTTATATGTAAATATATCTTTCTCTTCATATCTCCCTCTCAATGTATCTCTCTCATTATAATATCTATCTATCTATCTATCTATCTATCTATCTATCTATCTATCTACATATAACATGCTACGGTATCTGGAGTAAGAGATTTACCACAACACGGACATATTTTCATGTCATGAAATCCTTTCCTTACAGAGCAAGGAACAATAATACAATGACAAATGAAATGGTCATTTATTTAAATAGCACAACTAAAAGCTGATACATTGTTCACAATATAAAGATGAACGTGTCTGTTTGCTTAAATGAGCATAATTGCATAACAAGAAAATAACTACATGGAATGAACACTTTTGCTGTGAAACAATGAAAGAAAATGGAAGTGTAGTTACGACAGAATAATGTTACCATTGAAAACAACATGCTTTACGAATATATGTTTGACGAATTGTATGTGTGGTTTATAACATGTTAAATGTGCATAAGGTGTACGATAACAACTTTATGAATCTGGTCGTGTGTGGACACCGTATTTGTGATAGACATTACAACAATGAGCAGTTCCTACTGTCGACACAAAAACTTTGTACGTCGGACGTGGAACTTAATAAAGAGATATCTAAATGGTCTGAAAACGTATCAATCGCCATTCAGAATGCAAAATATGTCAATGAATTTGATGATCAATTTTCAGACATATTGGATAAGGATCGTCGTATCTTTTCCATTTGCAATTTCGATTCTCAGTTAATAGGATGAATTAGATTTATGTTAGATAACATGACACTGCTCTCTATTATAACTGGTGTCTCTTACAAACTGTGATATCAGAATTGCATGGGTTAATCTATGTATGATAACATTGTCAGCCAAGTGCATTCTAGAAACGTTAACGTTTTATGTCTTTTAACAATAACCCAGGAAGTTTAAAGATTTGCTCTACAATATAACCTCTGTCAATATGATGAAACGAGTAATAGTATATAGACTTATAAATCGCCTCCGTGGTCTAGTGGTAGAGCCCGTGAAGAGTACTAGCCCACTGAGATACCATGCTGCAATTTAACATGACTAACCCACTGAGACAGTAAAATGATTTCGAGCCGACCAGTCCACGTTTTAGTGACTATGCTTGTCGTAAAAGGCGACTAACGGGATCGGATAGTTAGGCTTGCTGACTTGGTTGATGCATGTCATCGATCCCAATTGGGTGGATCTATGCTCATGATATCAATCACGGATTTTGTCCGTGCCATATAGTTCAACATAACACCCGTAGTTTACAACTTGGCTGTGTCATACTTTCTTATATTACATGCAAAGGTTTCTTATATTGCATGCAATAGTTACACTATTCCATTTTGTTTGCCCGTGTTGTTTGACCCATGCGACATCGATAACGTGTTTGATAACATGTCATAGTGCCCTGATATCTCGGATCATTGCTTGTGTCTATTGTCAATGGTTTGTCTGGTTCAGATACAATCATGTACAGGGCCTAGTGATATAGCGTGAATATTGCTAAGCGGCCTTAAATAACATTGATCCCCTTCACTGTAATTGAGTGATCAGGAAATACTACACCCATCTGAAATACGTCCGTGTCTGCCTGCAGGTACATGATGAAGATGTATATTTTAACAGTTGCACAGCTGAAAACACATGCCTTACTTTAATCATGTCAATAATAGAAATATACTGAGATAAAGAACTGACTAAATAGCACCTGAAACAAAAAACAATATGGTTAAGATCCATGTCGACCCATCCGTGTTACATGTTTGCGTAGACACTGGAAGCTCTGTGGTATTCCTTCACCATGTCGTAACAGAACTTGTACTGATCCTAAAACAACAGAATATAACAACTAGAGATAATACATGTTGGTGTCTGCTGATCCAGAAGTGATGGTGAACTGAACAGATAACGTATATATGTACTTCAATTAATTTAATACGGCGCGCAACACCGACGCTATCCTATCCTGTGCCAATTTTGGGAAATGAAATAAGAGCCCTGAAATATAGTAATGCTATGATTAGCAACGCGCTAACGGGATCGGGTGGTCAGGCTCGCTGACTTGGTTGATGCATGTTATCGATCTCAATTGCGTGGATCGATGCTCATGATATTAGTCACTGGATTGTCTGGTCCAGACTTGATTATTTACAGACCACCGTCATATAGCTGAAATATTGCTGAGTGCGGCGTTAAACCACAAACCAACCAACCAACCATTATGTTATGCGTTTCATGTGCATACTTATAGATTTGTTCATTGCAGTTTGAATACACGGGCTGTAAATATGACTATAGGCAAGAATAGAGTACTGCATTCTCACACTGTAGTTCAAATCAATTTTGTACTGTGTTTTAATGACGAAATATGTGAAAGGATTTTTTCTTTATCATAAGTGTTTTTAACGCAAACTGACATAACAAGACAATAGGTTTCGTCAGTAAATCAGTGTAACTGTGACAACAACGTTCTGTTTCTGTGAGGTCACAATGGGTGTTGGATATAGTACAACGGTGAGGCAGTATTCAGTACTCACATACGACTGGACGAACTGGTGTCTGATACACTGGAGTTCCCGGATGGTCAGGTAGATGTCCACATCCTTGTCCAGTCTGAGTCTGCTGATGATGTTGAGGACGCTGCAGAACACTCCACACAGTCGGGCACCGTCACTGTAACGAGACCAAGAGGATAGGATGGAACAAAGAGTATTGTTTTTTGTGTCTTGAACTATCCTTACAAATGCCGTGGTATATTCATGTTCTTTAGAACAGAACCTCTACTCACGGACAATGCACAAGCGTCTTGTGGTCTTCGGAAGTACCCTTAGTGGCGATCTCATTCACGAACTCCAGCATAGCTTCCGTGCTCCCAGGGATGCGGGATTTCATCTTGTACACTGTGATCAGTCGACTTGAATCGATCTGGAAACCATACACATTACAGTGAACTTGATCTTGTTGTAAGTAGCATTCTCGTGGCATCATTCTTTACGTCTGATCAAAAGTTTGATATAATGTGCACGATGTAAAGTGATAGATTGTAGTACATGAATACTCCTTTCCCCAGACACCTACTCCAGCACAAACAAACAACCTTAATGGAGATTGGGTAGCAATGCTCTATGAACTGGCAGATTGGTGTCACTCCTATTGGGCGTGGTTTGTTGATCCAATCTCATTTTAACCAGATCTTCGATATCGAGGACATCTCATTAAGGGTCACGTCAGAAAGACCTTTTATCTGACCAATCAGAACGTCGCCTACAAGATCATGAAAAAGACAGTCGGAATGCGATTTCTGATCATGCACGCTCCAAAGATTTAACACTGGGTATTCCAAACGACAGTTACGAGTGTTACTACTGAATCCAGAGAATCAGCGTAATCTACTAGCCATTCTAGAATGTTCGTTTGTTCCGTTTTCAAATTTTTAATTGAGCATTTGTCAAAACAAGTTTCAAAACATAGCCGCAAGTTTGAAACTAAAGCCGCAAAGCATGAGAAAGCTGCCTTTCAGATTGGCTAATGTCGTCTCGGTCAAAATACACGAAAGGTTGGTCTGATGTGACCCTTTACTTCAGCAGAAGCGAAAACTAAGATCTTATTGAATGAGATTGGATCAACACACCACGCCAGATTTGAGTGACACCAAGCAGCAAATTCATAGAGCTTGGTCACCCAATCTGATTTAAATGAGATTGTGCGTCGGTCATGTTTTCAGTCCGGGGTATGTCTGAGACAAATTCGATTATCTACACTACACCGTTACAGTGCAAGAATATTGTTGACTACATTCACTCACAGACTTCCTGATACATAAATGATATGAACTGATATGATACAATCATATCATCTTAAATATTATGTGCTTTCATATGGCACAATATGATTTGACGGCAGGTGAATGAGGTCGCACCTCTTCATTCAGAGTTACTGTTATCTGAACGATGGTAAAGATGTCTCTTGTAGTGTCCTCTGTGCTGTGTGTGACTCGGAAAGGTCCCATCTCCAACACTTGATCCATCATGGGATACAGTCTCTGGAAGGTTAACTATGAAATGAATGCGAAAATAAACGCAAATGAGATTAAATCAAATAAGACATATATGTAGTTCCCAATGATCACCTGCAATATCGTCACCAAAGAAAACCTACACACATATCTAAACAGGAGATTTCACAAGAAACCACAGTATTTATTTAATTCATCAATGACAACATATTTTGTATGAAGCATTACATGTCCCATATTTGAATATTGAAAGAACTGCAAAATAGTTTAGTATGGGCTATGTTTGTTTTCTTCCCCTATACATATTCTGAATAAGGGAAAAAACAGGGAGCGTCGGATGGTACAATAATAAAAAATGGTCTGAAGTAAACGCAAACTATTGATCAAACATTTTATTAGGCTTTCTGCAAGGGTGTTGTTAGGCTCTCATGCAATTTCAAGCGGTGTCTGTTGACTACTTCTTCTGCAGTGTAGTGTGACGAGCTGATGCCCATGTTTGATGTCACCGCTAAAGACTATGTTTACAAAATCGGAGTAAAATCCTTGTGCGCGATACCAACCTTATCGTCTTCGAGACAGACAATGGCGAAACAGTCGTGATCATACACCAGTCTCCAAAAGTCAACAACAGCCGGTGTCACTGGTGTCTGGGTTGCTATTATACCTTGGGCACGTGTGGCAGACTGGAGTCAAAACAAATCAAACAATGATCATCGTTATCATGTATGAAACAAACACTGGCAAAGGATTTTAACATTAATATGAATACAGAAACAGATCACTGCAGATAAATACTATTACCGTGTGATATATCTTGATTTCTACTGATACAAAGAAGACAGCAGTCAACTTACTGGAAGCACTACTGCGTTGATGTAGTCATTATGGCCTGGCACGGGAGTGGAAAGATAGGGGCGAACATTGTTCGCTGAAAGAATAATGACATTTGTTGTTTCATAAAGAAGATAAGGTTAGTAATCTTGGGTGTTACCTACACCGATAGTGTGGTAGTATATATCAGACTATCTAAACATAGATTACGACGCAAAAACGAACATAAATACTCATGTCTCTCTCGTTGATATGGAGACGTCTTAGTTTAATCTTGCTCCTTGTGCTTTGAGGATAGAGTTTGTGTAAAGTGTAATAATGTTATATTCATCTGACGCAGTCACAGTGATTAGGCAGTGTGTATTTTGTGTCAGAAATTGGAATTGCATATCTTTGTTTGTTATTTCTAAACATTTTAAATCTTGTATGACGAGTGCACGTACAATCTTGTGGATTCAAATTTTGAACAAGGTGCGTGTTATTTAGAAATAATATTTACTAATAGTACCTAAAAATATTTTAATGTGAATGTGGGTGGATGGAATGCCCGCTAACCGACACAAGTTCTAATTCGTCCTTATGACAGGGCTTTGAACAGATTGCAGAAGGGACAAAATGTTAACATCAACTCCTTGACTCATAAAATGTCAACACGTAGAAGTATTTTGCTTTTGTCTTCACCTGGTACAATGTCTTGATTCCTGTTTTTGCTTCTGTTCTCCGGGAGTTGAGCTGCAGACACTGCATTATCATCTACATCCTGCTGCATCGCTTTGAGTGACTGCGGAAACAAGCACTGTAAGGTACGGCGTGTTCATTAAAGATCACACATCTTTGATGTCACAAATTAATATGACAGAAAACATATATAGACAGTATACGTGTAATTAATTTTTTTAATGTATATATTTAAGTGATTTTAGAAGCTGAAGCACCAGGATTAGCTGAGGACTGATTTATTTGACCTCAAGGTAAATTCATCACATCGGCTTTCCTTGTCTACATCACATAGAATCACATAGCATCACTGTTGTAACATGATGTTGCTAGTCTCTGTATATGTAAAGCTTGATATATAACCATATCCTACCCACGTGGTTGATACTAGCATCTGTACCGAAACGTTACATAAATAAATGAAAGCTTAAATCCTTCAGTCATATCCGTCATCACATTCAAGTTGGTTAGATTATATACGCAAATGTTACTGGTCCAGTCAAAATTTTTAGTGAGAGAGTATGTTTTACACCACTTTTAGCAAGAGTCCAGCAATATCACAGAACCGTGAGGAGTGAGCATTTAAACCACTTTGCAAAGCCCCCTTCCAACAACACAATAACGAAGCATTGTTTTTGTGTAGCTATTTCGTGGCCCATTAGTTGTACCTGAAACTGCCTGTTCATCTCCGCCTCTTCGTGTCTGGTATACGTCAAACCACTTCCAATTGTTTTCTCAAATTCAGCAGAGGTATAAAAAGTCCCCCTGCTCCCAAGAGCTTCAAGGAGAACATCATGAACAAAGCGGTACTGCTCCTGGAAACATGCAAAAAGTGTTTATAAAAAATGTCGTCATTAGAATGTAGTCTCTTTCAATGTGAGTTATGTGGTTATCATATAGAACTGAAAAAGTAACATAATTGTCATAATGCTACCAAACAATCATGTTTAGCCTCTTCACAGTTTGGACTTACCACAGTCTGCACCATGTTCATCCTAGCCTCTCTCATCTTGGACACACACGAGAACACGTTTACTTTGTTCAGAGACTCGGCTTCGTCAAAGAGGTTGTCCAGAGCAATGAACGTCCCCGTACGTCCAACGCCAGCGCTGAAGACATAACAAATAAGTTGCCAGCAAATCAGATATGCAGGTGACTCATTTGGAGATCAGATACACAGTAGGTCACAAGGAGAAAACAACAGCAAGTAATACATTACCAGGCATTTATATACAAAGGTGAAGTACTCTGAGATCACAAATACAGTGACGATGAGGCAATACAGAATTTTCAGTCAGCAAGGGATCACTTATTAGAGAAACGGTATTAACCTATTCTTCATTTCTCATTACGTTCTTGCAGATACGTTTCCCAAGTTTACATGGCAATAATGCATTAATTCGTTATTATTATAGTACAGTAAATTGAGGCACAGAATGTTGTAGAAAAAAATGAAAATGCCTACACACATCCCATCTTTTATTAAGCATGGTTTGATATGAATCCTGCATTTTTGCTGTCCAAAAAAAGATTAAATCTTTAAAATGAGAATTACATGATATAAGTAAAAAGAATATGTAAAAGTGAAAGGATCAGTGTATCCGACTGTATATCACTGGGTATGCTGGATACATATGAAGGTATAAAGACATCCTCTGGAATAGGGTATCACTGTGCAGGTCTTCAAACGGTGCCACTTGAATGGCTAGAGGTATTTTGTTTCTAGTTGAAAGCGCAAACATATCTTGGAAATGTCACAGGCAACATACCTGCAATGAACTACAACAGGTCCGGTAATGTCCTCCTCTGATGACGTCAGACTCCTGTACTGCTTCCAGAAGCCGACCAGAGCCGGCGCTGAAGGAACATCATGGTCAGGCCAGGACGTGAAGTGAAGCTGCGTCACTGTCCTCTTGTCAGAGGGCTAGAAATAACATATTAAATGAAACAGATCTACATGTCTCATATGGGATGTGGGCAGTCGGGTAGCCTAGTGGTTAAAGCGTTCGCTCGTCATGCCAAAGACCCGGATTCTGATGTACCCTGCCGTGATATCGCTGGAATATTGTTAAAGCGTCGTAAACCATACTCACTCACTCACTCACTCACTCACTCATATGGAACGGAGGAAGTGTCAGTTCCGATAACAAGATATTGCACAACTCCGATTTCCTTAAATTAAGTATATTTCAGCACTACTACTGATAATGATAAAAGCGACAAACCCATTTTCAAAAGCCACAAGAAATATCTGCTAAAAGCAGAGTACGATTCCGACTTAAAAGTAAATATTATAAAATACCAATTATATTGCGCTATATTTCAACACAAGCATGCTCAAAGCGCTACACTGTTATTACTCAGATCACAGCATTTCACAGTTCCCTAGGGGGTATATGACCATAGCTAGATGGTAAACAGTAAGTGTCACATTACTATTTCATCCTACCGGGTACCCATTCAAAGCTGGGTTAACAGAGGCATATTTCGAACAAAGTCACGTGTCTCAGGAGACACCCTATGTGCAACATGTGCTTCAGTATCGCGCAGGACCAAAGGACCTACTTTCGAAGAATGGTGAACACTGTATTTTCTGATGGTAAAGTCCGCCCTGACTGTGGCCAACAGTGGCTTGATAACAATGCGACCACACATCTTCTGTTCTTTCTCGTCAGGCCAGTATTGTTCGCACTTTTTCTGAAAATAAAGTGGATGGTTATGAGCATTCTTGACTGCAAAATGTAATGTTTTAACACTTAATATATAGGTAATATAATTAATATCTGAAAAAGTCAATCATGCTCCTCTGTTTCTAATTTTAGACGGCTCTCAACGCCTATCAGTTATATCAAGGTTGCTCGAGGGAAGGGGAAAGGCAAAGGTATACAGACGTTTGTTACCATCACAGATTATTACAAGAGGAATGTGTTCAAGTAAACTCTTTACTCTTCAGTTCAGCTTACCCTGTTTAGTTCCATGATTCTAGTTAGCATGATGATTATCGAGACGTTTTCCTGCCACACCATCCTCCAGAAATCGTTCACAGTGACAGGGTTTGGTCCTGGAATATAATACAACGACCATGACCATGAGATTATTTCAACCTTTAGTTTTGAAAATAGTGTGTGTCCATAGTAATGGTATATGACAGGCATTGGTAGTGTGATTGCAAATTCCTGGTCAGAGAAGGCCGACGCGCGAAGATCCGGGTTAGAACAAGTCTTCAGGACTAGGCGACAAATAGGCGACTAACGGGATCGGGTGGTCAGGCTCAGTGACTTGGTTGATGCATGACATCATATCCCAATTGTGTGGATCGATGCTCATGATGTCAGTCACTGGATTGTCTGTTCCACACTCGATCATTTAAAGACAGCCGTCATATAGGTGGAATATTGTTGGGTGTGGCGTTAAACAACAAACAAATAAACAAATAAACACAGGAGGTCTTCCAAAATCATGTATGTAAATAAAACCGTTCACAGATCAACTTTTTAGGCTTGCAATGAAGGAAATGATATAGCAATAGTTTTGTATATGTGTTTATGAGGAATCAGTCATCTATCTACCAAACATATAATAACGTTCAAGACATATACCTTGTGCAGCAATGAACACACTGGATTCGGAGAAGCCCTGCAACAAACACACATATTGTGCAGTTTCAGATGACAAACACATCATACAAAATTGCTTTTCGCTCACTCATTTATTTCCAAGGGGCAGTTTTGAATAATATACATACGGGAATAGCTGACCATTTGATTAAGTGTGGCTTACAGTTATGTAGCTGGCGTGGATATAGTCCCATGTGGCATCACCATCTGGCATCAGAACAACGCGACTGTCGTCATCTGTTCAAAAGAGAAATAAGGATATGTTTTCATTTCAGATGAAACACTTAATGGAGACACTATTACGAATTTACACCACTACGGAAATTGAATTATAAATTTATATTATAGAGCAAAGTTAACACGTTCAAAATAAGGCTTCCTTACCACTGCATGAGACAAATATGAATATTAGTCAGTATATATCTTCTTCCAATCATTTATATATCACATCAAACGTATTATCTGATATCCTGAAACTTTCATTTACACATGACTGTGACATTCACCTACGTAGTAGGTCATATATAGTGAAAATATAAAAAAATACTGATCTGGAAAAGGAATGTTCTGCAATCATTTTTAACGGGACTACAATGTTCACCATGCCAAGGCGATAATTTGATAATGGTATGATTCAGATTTCAGTGTGAAAGTGAGCATGTGATGTGTGAACATTTCATATGGAGCCAGACTTAATGTTTGAAATGGAGCCAGCCGTTATTATTTCAAATGGGGTTCGAATCCTATTTAAGTTTTGTTTTTTATTAACCAGCACCCACTATTACACGTCATTAGAAAACAATACCCAAAAACGTACATGTACGCCAATAATAGGCTGTTATATATACACTATTATTTTTCTAAAACTCACATGGAAATAGTTCCAAGAAACGGTTCCTCTTTTTATTTTCAGGTTTTCTCCCTTCGACATGAGCTCCGTGTATTCCGTAACGGAGTAGCTATAAATATAAAACGCCAATGCAAAGAGAATAACCAGGCTCAATTATCTGCCGAAACAGATTCCATTTGGAATACATGGCAAAATAGCTGTGGAACCTTTGTGAATGGACAACTGAAAATCAGCGATAACACCAGGTGTTCGGGAAAAGGGTAGGCATGTCCAGCCCTACCGGTAGCACCAGCCATTTTCACAAAAGTAAGTATTTATTAGCTGACGCCGCATAGCAGTACTCTTGCTGTAAACAAACCAGACAATCGATTGATCGATGGACCAGAAAATCCAGTGACACGGCAGTGCATTTACTTATTTTGTTTCTAGTAAACTGGTAAAAACAATATATTAATTTTAAATTACGTTTTTGTACAAGAGAAGAGATTATGCTGCGTAATTACAAGTAAAAAAACCCGTTTAAAGCCCCACCCTGACTATAAATAGCCCGCAAGGTGGCGGTGTTTCAGATTCGAACAATGACTGCCAATGTAAACACAACCGAGTGTCGGGAGACGTTTTTTGAAAACAATACGGGAACCAGATCACCATTGACCGTCAAACTTCGTATCAACTTGAATGACAAACCATCGATACAACAAATGGCTCCATATCAAGATATAAGTCAATAGATTGTCTGTAGTTTTATCCTAAAAAATTGAATCGATCGTGTTTTGCGTCTGCATCGATCACAGTGGGCTTATTTACGGTTGCGCTATAAATAGCAAAGCACATGGTCATGTGTACATGTGGCACATTCAATGCATTTGTGGTCAAAGTGTATTGTGTTGTATATTTTTACGGCAGAACAGCAGCAGATCATCAGTTTCGGTTAATGTAACAGTAACGATACTTAAATACGAAATTGACGACGCGAATGACTTTCAGTTCAATCCGAAAATTACAGATATTTGTTTAGTTTTGGTCATTTGCATTCAACAGTTAGATTTCTGCCACACAATTATCAGTTTATATTCATTAAAATTAAATTATTACACAGATTTTTAAACTAGTGTTTAGGAAGGGGCCTAATTTGAAGCACCAGAAGTTGCGCCAATATTTCTCAGCTTGACTTCTATAGATGAATATGTCACGTGTATCAACATAACAATGCACATAAGCAGCTGGTAAATAAGTAACGAAATATACTTGATGTTTTGACCTGCAGAAGGCGTATCCAGATAATATTGTACTTACGATAAACGAAAACTCCAATACACATATTCCAAGGAAACTTTAATTATGAATTTCCTTTTCTTTCACAGAATTTTCACACACAAAACTGAGTTTGATCATTAGATCCATACTTGTCCCATGTTTTTGTTTGTTCGGGGTATTTGGATCAGTTCGCGCACAAGTTTTAAAATACAATCTGGGATCCCTTTCCCGTTTTGTCCACACCAATCCTTCATCTGCTGCAAGGTTTAATTCCGTTTCTTCATGTCAAAGTATCTACGATCTCTCCAAACACTTCGTTTATTTAGCTCAGTCCAGAAGCAGTGTGTTCGAATCGACGAATTTCTGCAACATGGTGGCCGCACCATTCCCTAACTGCGATTGCCTGTGCCGTGTCACGCATTGTTGACAAAAGAAGTGTGAACATACATATTCGGCGTCATCTGGTTCCACAATGAAATCTAGCTGTGACACTGATTCACTAATCCCAAGAATCGGCACTGAATTTATCAAAGTTTCTGTTGCACTTGCAAGGGCGGGAAGAGAGGCGCCATCTTGTCGATTCGAGTTGTGAATCGGAATGATGTCATCTTGAATTGGAACTTTCTCCACGATAAAGTCACCAATGTCATAATCGAAATGACCAAAGGCTCCCTGATTATCTAGAACAACTCTTCGTCAAATTAGGCTTCACATGAAAATGTTGGGCGTGGTTGCTAGGAGATCGCGTTGTCAGAAAGGGGAAAACAAAAACTTTTAGAAACTAATAAAAGAAATACGCAATGCAATACAAAAGTACCATGTACAGGATATTTTTTAATAATAATATTCACGAAAAAAAAATCTTTTCTAAAAATGCAAATTAATTTATTAATTTATCCGACCGTCGTAACCCTGATCACGTGGTGGGTATTTGGAAGGAATCTTTGCGATGACGCCGTGAATGAGGCCGTGTGTATTACATTGTTGTCTTCAACTGCCCAGGAAGATTGTTGAGGCGTTGACATTAAGACAGATGTTCTTTGAAACATTGTTGCTTTGAGCTTCGCGACAAAACATGTGTTAATGCCGAAGTAGCCAGCGACCTGAATGTAAGCTTGATGAAAATAATGTTGAACCCATTTTCACATGACAAAATTAATGTGAACAAATATTTATCTGAACATCGTTTCGAAGTCTGTGAGGCTGTCCGTATTGTAATATTTTTATTTCCATTCCGACGTAAAATAATATAATGTTTTCGTGTCTTAATTTTGCTGCCGCTGTGGAAAATTGCGCACCCATCTAATAAAAGAAATACTACTAGATCTACCATTGCACCGTCATAAAAGAACCAGGTCCACTTTATCTTAGTTCCGTTGTTTATTAAAAATTCGTTTCCGAAGCAAAGCGCATCGATCTACATCATAAATTAATTCATAGACTAGATTGTAGTACCAAGTGTTAAACCTTTTTTTTTAAATGTCATAAAATAACTTACACAATTATTGAAAGACATTTTTTGATAAGTAATCTATTTTATTTCGTCCGCCCGCTCTCTGGTTAGTTGAGGCTTGAGGGGAGAAACACATACAAACAATACGGATGGCCTTATGCAAATAACACTTGGCATGCCAATCAACAGGGATCTGGGTCACTGGGCCCCACCAAGTTTCACGGATCGAGTTACTTCGGCATGAGGGCTTCATCGGACAAGTGTGACTTTGCCAAAATACATTGCTACTGGGCAATGAAAAAACGACAAGAAACTACTTTGATCCCACTTGAAAATAATTTTGACCATTACCAGGGTTTTTCACACGATCGTTGTCATCCAGATTCCAGATGAGGCAAGACGAACACAACGAAGAAAAACATTGTTGAAATCACCGATTGCTGTATATATTGTGAGAAATGCTATTTATAAACTGCAGATATACCGTACACCACCATAACTATTGGTGCCCCAACGCATTTTATGTTTCTTGTTCATTTACACGACACGGCATCACGACAAACGAACATATTTCGTTCTCGTCCAGAGATTTAGAACTATAATTTGTGTGTTGGACTGCGTTGGATAAATCGTGGACATTCCACGGTATCATTTTATGAAGATGTGAAGACGACATAGCAGGTAGGTTTTGAAACCAAAGATTTACGCGTTTGTTGAAAAGTCTTTGAATCGTTTGGTAGATATTTGTATTTACCATTAAAACTTACGTCCTTGTTGTCAAACGGCCCACGTGGGTGGGTGTTTACATGACGTCACCCGTTTACGCATAAACCAATGAAATATATGTGTTATCATGACGTCATATTGACCTGTCAGATCACTTGTATAAGCTCCGCCCACTAGAGTGCGGTAGTTACTACCGCAGATGGGGCTTTAAGAACTAGATCGTTTTGCAAGTGGGATGGGAGTAGAAGGGGGAGCAATTTTAGTCTCTTGGAAGAATTGCATCCCTGTATTTCATATTGATTGTATATTCATGTGGACTGCGTCATAAACAAAGCATGGAGGTTTACCCATAGGGCACGATTTCGATTTGCCAAACAGTTAGGGATACACATACTTTTGTTTCGTCTGTGGCATGAAGTCAACATGGAAACAAACGAAGTATAGGTATAGATACCCACACGCCCGAATAACGCCATGATAACGCCGCGCTTTTGCGAAACGAATGAAAATGTGCTTTTAAAGAGGTATGTCTTAATTTTAGATTACTGTTGTATTTATCAATTTAACCACGCCCTACCTTGTACTCGTGTTCGAATCCCACGCCCGTCACTCTGTCCCTGACGTACTGCTTGAGCCTGTCCAGGGACACAGGAGCTGGGACGACGTTGTAGTATGGCTCCGAGTTCTCGTACACGTTGTCTGCAGGAGGCTTTGGTTTCTTAGCAGGCTTATAAGGTGGCGCAGGTTTACCTGCAGCAGGAGCGTCTTTCTCACCTTAAACAAGAGCAATCAGATATTAATGCAACATCTTGTTCTTTTGGTTCAGGTAAATGCCTTTAAAAAGATATGCTACTAAATAGGGTGTCTGATGTATTGACTATGTACGTGTACTTATACTCTATGTGTCATGGTTGTATTGAAAATGTGTACATGTCCACACGCGCGACACGACGTTGTCACTCTTATATCGTAATTATTTCTATCACATTCGGTGTTAGGAACTCTTGCTTTAGACAGAGATAAAGCATAGCATGATCATCAGTGCAAGCAAATTGTGGTTCCTGATTTGCTATAAAAAGGGACAAATTCTAAAACGAGACTAATAGTTCTAACCGCAGTACCAACATGTCAGGACACACCTTTTACTTTACCGAGAGAAATTGTATTTTCTTCTTCTTGAGACTTCATATTACGTCTTCTGGAACATAAACCATCCTCTGTTTTAATGTGTATGTACATGGTAGTACAATTAATGGTAGTTTCCGTAGAACTAATACTCATTGCATACACGTCTTCAGAAGTGTGGTACAATGTACAATGCCAAATAACTTTTATAATGTTTATTACTGTCATAGTGTGTTCCGTTGTGCATATTCAAGTAAAACCTTTCATATATGCTTCAATGGTTATGTGACTCAATATTGCTTGTCGTCAAAGTGAGCAATATTCCGGCTATACGTCATGATCTGTAAAGCATCGAGTCTGGCAAACCAGTGACTAAAGGTAAGATGTTCGGACCCATGCCATCAAGGTCATTGTGTCTGACTGTCCGATACAAAACGATATTAAAAGTATGACACATACCTCTTGATGACGACCAACAGGACTACGAGGATCACTGCCACTAGTACAGCTACTACCGCTCCACTCACTGCCCCAACGGTAGAACTGGATATGGAACCGTCGCCCCTTTGAGAGCTTGTAGACACTATAATATTAAAATGTCAAAAACAGTTTCATGCTTTGGTTTAGTGAGTTATTAAGGTGTTACTTGCGATTAAGTTTAATATATCTATTTCATTTCGGGGTAGACTATGAAAGATATTGGCACTAATTAAAGATGTATTGATATTCCAAAACAATTTCTAACGGTCGCAAATAAATAATATCAAATTTCGTTATTAACGTCAAGCATAAAGGAGAGGAAAATTGTTAAATACCTAAAGTTGTTGATCTACTCACGTTTGCAGGAATCACCCTTGTAGCCTTCCTCGCACCCAAGAATGCATGAGCCATTGGAGGGCTGACATGTTCCATTAAGACAGTTGCCACAGGGATATTGGCAGTTTTCTCCATAGGTGTTGTTGACACACTCTATATCCATGAACATGTGAAGGCTAATTTTTTAATGAAACTGTTAGGGAATCAGTTTTACTTCATACTATCATTCAGTTTTCCATTTTGTTTACTGGCTGACGCTGGTACAATTATGTATGTATAAATTGCTTATTGATTGTGCAAGGTATTCTTAAAATATTTGAAGTCAATCCTCATACATGACCTGCAAGATTTGGTCGTAACCCTTCTTAGAGAGAGCATTAGAGTGTAACGGAGCATTTTTGGAAGATGCCTTCTCCTTAATTGTTTAACTATTGGCCATGGAGAGAGAGAGAGAGAGAGAGAGAGAGAGAGAGAGAGAGAGAGAGAGAGAGAGAGAGAGAGAGGCTTACCTTGTTGACATAATGGAGCTTCATAGCCAGGCTGACATCCTTTAGTGCACTCTCCATCTTGTGAGTTGCAGTTGCCTCCCTTGCATTGACCACAAGCAGTACAGTTGGAACCATAATAGCCATGGGCACATTCTGAAAGCAGATGTTGTTAAAGGCTTAATGACGCACATTCTGAAAGCAGATGTTGTAAGAGGTCTAATGACGCGCATTCTGAAAGTAGATGTTGTGAGTTGCTTAATGACGCACATTCTGAAAGCAGATGTTGTAAGAGGTCTAATGACGCGCATTCTGAAAGTAGATGTTGTGAGAGGCTTAATGATGCAAATTCCAAAAGCAGATGTTGTGAGATGTTTAATGCCGCCCTTTCTGAAAGAACATATTGTGAGAGGCTTAATGACGCACATTCTGAAAGTAGATTTTGCTACATGTGTAATGACGCACATTCTAAAAGAAGATATTGTGAGAGGTTAAATGATGTATATTATGAAAGTAGATGTTGTGAGAGGCTTAATGACGCACATTCTAAAAGTAGATGTTGTGACATGTGTAATGACGCACATTCTAAAAGTAGATATTGTGAGAGGTTTAATGATGCATATTCTGAAAGTAGATGTTGTGAGAGGCTTAATGACGCACTTTCTAAAAGTAGATGTTGTGACATGTGTAATGACGCACATTCTTAAAGGAGATATTGTGAGAGGTTTAATGATGCATATTCTGAAAGTAGATGTTGTGAGAGGCTTAATGATGCAAATTCTAAAAGTAGATGTTGTGACATGTGTAATGACGCACATTCTTAAAGTAGATGTTGTGAGAAGCTTAATGACACACATTCTGAAAGTAGTTGTTGCGACATGTGTAATGACGCACTTTCTAAAAGTAGATATTGTGAGAGGTTTAATGACGCACATTCTGAAAGAGGTTGTTGTGAGAGGCTTAATGACGCGCATTCTTAAAGTAGATGTTGTGAGATCTTAAATGCCGCCCATTCTGAAAGCAGATGTTGTGAGAGGTTTAATGACGCACATTCTGAAAGTAGATGTTGTGAGAGTAAATGACGCCCATTCTGAAAGTAGATCTTGTGAGAGGTTTAACGACGCACATTCTGAAAGCAGATGTTGTGAGAGACTTAATGACACATTCTGAAAGTAGATATTGTGACAGGCTTTATGACGTAGATTCTCAAATCAGATATTGTGAAACGTTTAATGACGCACATTCTGAAAGTAGATGTTGTGAGAGGCTAAATGACGCACATTCTGAAAGCAGATGTTGTGAGATGTTTAATGACGCGCATTCTGAAAGTAGATGTTGTGAGAGGCTAAATGACGGGCATTCTGAAAGTAGATGTTGTGAGAGGCTTAATGATGCACCTTCTGAAAGAACATATTATGAGAGGTTAATGGCACACATTCTGAAAGTAGATGTTGTTACAGGTTTAATGACGCACATTCTGAAAGAAGTTGTTGTGAGAGACTTAATGCCGCACATTCTGAAAGCAGATGTTGTGAGAGGCTTAATGACGCACATTCTGAAAGCAGGTGTTGTGAGAGGCTTAATGACGCAAATTGTGAAAGCAGATGTTGTAAGATGTTTAATGCCGCACATTCTGAAAGAACATATTGTGAGAGGCTTAATGGCCTACATTCTGAAAGTAGTTGTTGTGAGAGACTTAATGCTGCCCATTCTGAAAGAACATATTGTGAGAGGCTTCATGACGCACATTCTGAAAGCAGATGTTCTGAGAGGCTTAATGACGCACATTCTAAAAGTAGATGTTGTGAGAGGCTTAATGACGCACATTCTGAAGGTAGTTGTTGCGACATGTGTAATGACGCACATTCTAAAAGTAGATATTGTGAGAGGTTTAATGACGCACAATCTGAAAGAGGTTGTTGTGAGAGGCTTAATGACGGACATTCTGAAAGTAGATTTTGTTAGAGGCTTAATGATGCGAATTCTGAAAGCAGATATTGTGAGACGTTTAATGCCGCCCATTCTGAAAGAACATATTGTGAGAGGTTTAATGACGCACATTCTGAAAGCAGGTGTTACGAGAGGTTTAATGAAGCACATTCTGAAAGCAGATGTTGTGAGATGTTTAATGCCGCACATTCTGAAATAACATATTGTGAGAGGCTTAATGGCCTACATTCTGAAAGTCGATGTTGTGAGAGGCTTAATGATGCAAATTCCGAAAGCAGATGTTGTGAGATGTTTAATGCCGCACATTCTGTAAGAAGATATTGTGAAAGGCTTAATGATGCAAATTCTGAAAGCAGGTCTTGTGAGAGGTTTAATGACGCAAATTCTGAAAGCAGATGTTGTGAGATGTTTAATGCCGCACATTCTGAAATAACATATTGTGAGAGGCTTAATGGTCTACATTCTGAAAGTCGATGTTGTGAGAGGCTTAATGATGCAAATTCCGAAAGCAGACGTTGTGAGATGTTTAATGCCACCAATTCTGTAAGAAGATATTGTGAAAGGCTTAATGACGCACATTCTGAAAGTAGTTGTTGCGACATGTGTAATGACGCACATTCTAAAAGTAGATATTGTGAGAGGTTTAATGACGCACATTCTGAAAGTAGATGTTGTGAGAGGCTTTATGACGGACATTCTAAAAGTAGATGTTGTGAAAGGCTTAATGACGCACATTCTGAAAGTAGTTGTTGCGACATGTGTAATGACGCACATTCTAAAAGTAGATATTGTGAGAGGTTTAATGACGAACATTCTAAAAGTAGATGTTGTGAGAGGCTTAATGACGCACATTCTGAAAGTAGTTGTTGCAGCAAGTGTAATGACGCACATTCTAAAAGTAGATATTGTGAGAGGTTTAATGACGAACATTCTAAAAGTAGATGTTGTTAAAGGCTTAATGACGCATATTCTGAAAGTAGTTGTTGCGGCATGTGTAATGACGCACATTCTAAAAGTAGATATTGTGAGAGGTTTAATGACGCACATTCTGAAAGTAGATGTTGTGAGAGGCTTAATGACGGACATTCTAAAAGTAGATGTTGTGAAAGGCTTAATGACGCACATTCTGAAAGTAGTTGTTGCGACATGTGTAATGACGCACATTCTGAAAGTAGATATTGTGAGAGGTTTAATGACGAACATTCTATAAGTAGATATTGTGAGAGGTTTAATGACGCACATTCTGAAAGTAGATGTTGTGAGAGGCTTAATGACGGACATTCTAAAAGTAGATGTTGTGAAAGGCTTAATGACGCACATTCTGAAGGTAGTTGTTGCGACATGTGTAATGATGCACATTCTAAAAGAAGATATTGTGAGAGGTTTAATGACGCACAATCTGAAAGAGGTTGTTGTGAGAGGCTTAATGACGCGCATTTTGAAAGTAGATTTTGTTAGAGGCTTAATGATGCAAATTCTGAAAGCAGATGTTGTGAGATCTTAAATGCTGCCCATTCTGAAAGCAGATGTTGTGAGAGGTTTAATGACGCACATTCTGAAATTAGATGTTGTGAGGGTTAATGACGCCCATTCTGAAAGTAGATCTTGTGAGAGGTTTAACGACGCACATTCTGAAAGCAGATGTTGTGAGAGACTTAATGACACATTCTGAAAGTAGATATTGTGACAGGCTTTATGACGTAGATTCTCAAATCAGATATTGTGAGACGTTTAATGACGCACATTCTGAAAGTAGTTGTTGTGACATGTGTAATGACGCACATTCTAAAAGTAGATATTGTGAGAGGTTTAATGACGCACATTCTGAAAGTAGATGTTGTGAGAGGCTTTATGACGGACATTCTAAAAGTAGATGTTGTGAAAGGCTTAATGACGCCGATCTGAAAGTAGTTGTTGCGACATGTGTAATGACGCACATTCTAAAAGTAGATATTGTGAGAGGTTTAATGACGAACATTCTAAAAGTAGATGTTGTGAAAGGCTTAATGACGCACATTCTGAAAGTAGTTGTTGCGATATGTGTAATGACGCACATTCTAAAAGTAGATATTGTGAGAGGTTTAATGACGCACATTCTGAAAGTAGATGTTGTGAGAGGCTTAATGACGGACATTCTAAAAGTAGATGTTGTGAAAGGCTTAATGACGCACATTCTGAAGGTAGTTGTTGCGACATGTGTAATGATGCACATTCTAAAAGTAGATATTGTGAGAGGTTTAATGACGCACAATCTGAAAGAGGTTGTTGTGAGAGGCTTAATGACGCGCATTCTGAAAGTAGATTTTGTTAGAGGCTTAATGATGCAAATTCTAAAAGCAGATGTTGTGAGATCTTAAATGCCGCCCATTCTGAAAGCAGATGTTGTGAGAGGTTTAATGACGCACATTCTGAAATTAGATGTTGTGAGGGTTAATGACGCCCATTCTAAAAGTAGATCTTGTGAGAGGTTTAACGACGCACATTCTGAAAGCAGATGTTGTGAGAGACTTAATGACACATTCTGAAAGTAGATATTGTGACAGGCTTTATGACGTAGATTCTCAAATCAGATATTGTGAGACGTTTAATGACGCACATTCTGAAAGTAGATGTTGTGAGAGGCTAAATGACGCACATTCTGAAAGCAGATGTTGTGAGATGTTTAATGACGTGCATTCTGAAAGTAGATGTTGTGAGAGGCTAAATGCCGCCCATTCTGAAAGTAGATGTTGTGAGAGGCTTAATGATGGACCTTCTGAAAGAACATATTATGAGAGGTTAATGGCACACATTCTGAAAGTAGATGTTGTTACGGGTTTAATGACGCACATTCTGAAAGCAGATGTTGTGAGAGGCTTAATGACGCACATTCTGAAAGCAGGTGTTGTGAGAGGCTTAATGACGCAAATTGTGAAAGTAGATGTTGTAAGATGTTTAATGCCGCACATTCTGAAAGAACATATTGTGAGAGGCTTAATGGCCTACATTCTGAAAGTAGTTGTTGTGAGAGACTCAATGCTGCCCATTCTGAAAGAACATATTGTGAGAGGCTTCATGACGCACATTCTGAAAACAGATGTTCTGAGAGGCTTAATGACGCACATTCTGAAAGTAGATGTTGTGAGAGGCTTAATGACGGACATTCTGAAGGTAGTTGTTGCGACATGTGTAATGACGCACATTCTAAAAGTAGATATTGTGAGAGGTTTAATGACGCACAATCTGAAAGAGGTTGTTGTGAGAGGCTTAATGACGCGCATTCTGAAAGTAGATTTTGTTAGAGGCTTAATGATGCAAATTCTGAAAGCAGATATTGTGAGACGTTTAATGCCGCCCATTCTGAAAGAACATATTGTCAGATGTTTAATGCCGCCCATTCTGAAAACAGATGTTGTGAGAGGCTTAATGACGCACATTCTGAAAGCAGGTCTTGTGAGAGGTTTAATGACGCAAATTCTGAAAGCAGATGTTGTGAGATGTTTAATGACGCACATTCTGAAATAACATATTGTGAGACGCTTAATGGCCTACATTCTGAAAGTAGTTGTTGTGAGAGGCTTAATGACGCACATTCTGAAAGTCGATGTTGTGAGAGGCTTAATGATGCAAATTCCGAAAGCAGATGTTGTGAGATGTTTAATGCCACCCATTCTGTAAAAACATATTGTGAAAGGCTTAATGAAGCACATTCTGAAAGTAGTTGTTGCGACATGTGTAATGACGCACATTCTAAAAGTAGATATTGTGAGAGGTTTAATGACGCACATTCTGAAAGTAGATGTTGTGAGAGGCTTTATGACGGACATTCTAAAAGTGGATGTTGTGAAAGGCTTAATGACGCACATTCTGAAAGTAGTTGTTGCGACATGTGTAATGACGCACATTCTAAAAGTAGATATTGTGAGAGGTTTAGTGACGCACATTCTGAAAGAGGTTGTTGTGAGAGGCTTAATGACGAACATTCTAAAAGTAGATGTTGTGAAAGGCTTAATGACGCACATTCTGAAAGTAGTTGTTGCGACATGTGTAATCACGCACATTCTAAAAGTAGATATTGTGAAAGGTTTAATGACGCACATTCTGAAAGTAGATGTTGTGAGAGGCTTAATGACGCACATTCTACTAGAAGATGTTGTGAAAGGCTTAATGACGCACATTCTAAAAGTAGATATTGTAAGAGGTTTAATGACGCACATTCTGAAAAAGGTTGTTGTGAGAGGCTTAATGACGCGCATTCTGAAAGTAGATTTTGTTAGAGGCTTAATGATGCAAATTCTGAAAGCAGATGTTGTGAGACGTTTAATGCCGCCCATTCTGAAAGAACATATTGTCAGAGGTTTAATGAAGCACATTCTGAAAGTAGATGTTGTGAGAGGTTTAATGACGCACATTCTGAAAGCAGGTCTTACGAGAGGCTTAATGAAGCACATTCTGAAAGCAGATGTTGTGAGATCTTAAATGCCGCCCATTCTGAAAGCAGATGTTGTGAGAGGCTTAATGACGCACATTTTGAAAGTAGATGTTGTGAGACGTTTAATGACGCACATTCTGAAAGTAGATGTTGTTAGAGGCTTAATGACGTAGATTCTCAAATCAGATATTGTGAGAGGTTTAATGACGCACATTTTGAAAGTAGATGTTGCGAGACTCTTAATGACGCACATTTTGAAAGGAGATGTTGTGAGAGGCTTAATGACGCATATTCTGAAAGCAGAAATTGTGAGAGGTTTAATGACGCACATTCTGAAAGTAGATGTTGTGAGAGGCTTAATGACGTAGATTCTCAATTCAGATATTGTGAGGTGTTTAATGACGCACATTCTGAAAGTAGATGTTGTGATAGGCTTAATGGCGCACATTTTGAAAGTAGATGTTGTGAGAGGTTTAATGATGCACATTCTGAAAGTAGATATTGACAAAGGCTTAATGACCTATATTCTGAAAGTAGATGTTGTGAGAGGTTTAATGGCGCACATTCTAAAGGCGGGATATTGTGAGGGACACTCTTTCTGAAACCAGATGTTCTGAGAGATTTAATGACACAGGTCATATTCAATGTCAGTCAGCAGGCAGTTATTTTTAATTCAAATGATATACAATTTTGTGTGGACTAAATTCCATATCTCCTAAAGTGTGATTAAGATAATCTGCATGAATATTGGTATTAAGCAGGATCTCGGGTATTTACTCTATTACTATCGGCATTGAGCAATATCCCTGTAAACACACTGATTTTCACTGGTCCATTCGTATAATTTTCACAGCTATTTTGCAATTGACGCCAAATGGAATCCGTTTCGGCGGACAATAAAGACTGGTTATTCTTTTCCACTGACGCTAGATTTGTTTGTTACACTATCGTGGCTTTTTTGTGAAACGTATCTGGTCTTTGACAGTTGTTAACACAATAGAAACGTATATACGGTGCTGCTAGAAGGTATGATTTTGCACTCAAGGAATTGTGTCATTACTGAAATATAAGTGACAATACTTTTGCCATAATCATGAGAAATCGCTGTCCATTGTACGATTCCCACAATTTCTTAGCATGTGCTTATGAAGCTCTATATATAGCGTTTCATGCCCCATCCGTGGGCCAACCGGTAAAATCACCATCAAGCAAGGCTTCAGTGCTGCTAAATAGGATAGATTGATGGATGATCGAGTTTTTCTTTATTTAAGCTCCAAACATGTACTTCTTATTTTCCATTTGAGTGTGTATAACATGATAAGAAGCGTAATTTACACATTTGTCATTTATTTGAGATACTGGTTGCTATATTATTACCTTTACACAAAGGTCCTTTGAAACCATTGCTGCACCCTTTAAGGCAGCTTCCATTCACATGGTGACAAGTTGTTGACGTACGACACTGGCCACAACTTGACGAACAGTTCACTCCATACAATGTGTCTGCACACTCTTTAAAATGGAACAGAATAACCATATAAAATGCAGAAAGGAGAATAATTTTTACTGTGTAGGAGTGATCTTCCCTTATTATGTTTAACGTTTCTCACAAACCTACAGCAAACCATAATGCTGTGTATCAGTATGTACCAATTTGAACTGACATTGTGATGCCAATATAATATATTTATTTCCATGTATGACCTAATCACTACTTTTTACTATATTGACTCCAGATAAAATAAGATATGTTACCTGTGTTAATGAACGATAAGTTGTATTCTGAGACGTTTCATAAGATGAAATCACAGGCATACATTCGATTACGTGCGAAAGATCGCACTGCAGACACTACAATAACCAACATATATGTAAAGCAAGTAAATTCAAGTTCTCCACAAAGTCGGGATAGAATGTGTCTATGTTGTTACATACTCTCATGGCACAGCGGGCGTTGATATCCAGCCTCACACCCAGTAGAACATGTCCCATCTTGCCTGGAGCAGTTGGTGTTGTCCTGACAGTGTCCACACTCCCTGCAGGGCGACCCGTAGGAACCAGCCGGACATGCTGTGTATCAATAAGTACAATTGGAACTGACATTGTGATGCCAAAATATTGTATTTATTCCCATTTGTGATTTAATCACTACTTTTAAATATATTGAATCCAGATGAACTAACATATGTTACCTGTGCTACACAGTGGAGGTCCATATCCAGGTTTACAGCCAGTCAAACATGTCCCATTTAGCACAGAACATGGGGAATCGCCCTTACAGTGTCCACATCCTTGGCAGGGCGGTCCATAGAAGTGAACTGCACACACTGAATGGACGAAGATTATCTTAAAGTCTTGCCTTGAAAGGATGAAATTACCACATCGCATATTGTGTTAATTTTGTTAACAGCCTAAATGACAAAATGCAACATATTTTATCAACAAAATACGTATCATAAGACAATGTTTGTGCAATTTGAAATTGGATTTTTAGTTAAATGTCAGATTAAAATCTTTCGTGCTGAGATTGTTTTGTAACACGGTACATGTATAAAAGGTGGAATGAAGTATGGACTGATTCACGAATGGAGACGTACAGATCAATGTGCAGTCTCGCTCTTGGAACTGCGAGGGTATAACTTCAACTGTAAAATTTCACTTGTTGTAATCGCTTCTTCTCGCAGGTGCTTGGCTGATGTAGAATTCCATTGCCTTCTTGAACTATTTTGAAAGCTACTTGGACATCTTATACGACTTTTTCAGTAAAAACATCATCTCAACAGTGTTCCAAAAGACACTGTTATGAGCCGTTAAGACAATTGTGGTGTACATGCATTTCTCTAATATAAAATCAAACCTAGATACGTTTTGAAGAGATATACAACATATTGAGATACACCTTGCATAACGCGTGCATTGACTCACTGTCTAGCACCTAATTGTAAGTACTAAATAATATCTTGTAGATTCTCAGCTTAACTATATGAATTGGTCTTGATTGAGAAAGAGTTGGAAGATTTAAAAGTGCCCCAGGAGAGTTCACGTGCACATATATCTTATTTATACATTTTGTGGAATTTTCTAATCCTATGGCGGACTGGTTCAATTAGGTTTTGCCACAGTGGATTCTAATATCCAGGTTGACACCCATCACCACATCTCCTATCTGCCGTGTTAGAAAGAGCGTTGCTCCGACAGTGGCCACATTGTGAAGTACACGTGGACCCATAATAACAAGGAACACATGATGTATGGGGATAGGAGTAAGGTAACATTCGGTTAGAAATAGGTACGTTGATCCTACTAGTAAATGCAAGCATTTTCGTTAAACTAGCTTCGATTTCACATTTTCTCAACAACAAAATAAACAAATGACAAACATACACTGATGTGGATCATTTACAATAATATGAATTCAGACCAATCATAATGTTAAGACTAAGGTAAACAATAAAACATCTAGGTAATGTTATAACTAAAAATAAATATGTGGCTAACGCAAAATGTATTGTGACATTTACAGAACTACAATTTCAGAACAATCATATCTAACGAGAGAGACTGTGAAACCCAGCATTTACATTTCTAATTCACCATATGTCAAGAAATATTTTCGGGACCTCTAGTACACACATGCACCCATAACAATCAGGAGTAGAAAATGTATCCAAAGTTTATAAACATCACTCTCGATCCCGGTGTTTAAACCTGCTACGTTTCGCACATGATTTCATTTCGACAAAGAAGATTACTTTGGGGAAAACTATTCTCACTACTTATACGTAATTCCGTTCAAATGACATTACTTCCATTCCAGTTATAAAACAAATAGTGAAAACACATAGCTACGCAGTGCGATTTAGAATTTGAAAATAGAAAGGAAAGTTTATCCTTTTATTATCTTCCATTTAAATGACACCATTACCCATTGATATCTATGCAATTCGACTTTAAACAGAATGTCAAATATTTCTCTATAGCGTTAAGCAGCTACCAAATACATTTACACATGCATAATAGCTGTTGAAATGAAATGTCGAAATGTCATAGCCTCAGAGATCATCACCATAAAGTTTTACAGGAGCCCTAAATGTAGATTGGTATTTATTAAAATACAACACTGACCTTCTAAATGTATGGTAAGTATGACACTAGCTAGGTGTTACACATCTTATTTAAACCCACAGCGTGACAGAAGACACCGGGCATTTCAAACGTTGTTAATAGAAACGACCACAATCATTTCCACAATCATAACGTCTCGTCACGATATTGCTGAAATATTGCCGATGTGACGTTAAACTTCAACTCCACAATCATAACAAATTTCATCTACAGACTATATAAAATAACATCTTACTTTTACACAATGGGGGGCTGTAACCCTGTTGACATCCTTGTGTGCATGTTCCATCATCCTTCTTACAGTCCGACGTCCCGCTACACTGACCACAAGTGGAGGAACAGTTGACCCCATAATGATGTTGGCCACAATCTGTATGGATAGGGATATATCAACACTTCTTGATGTTATATTATGTGTTTTAGAAGGAAATGATAACGACGTGCACATGAAACACCAAATTAAATCAAAAGTACCAAATTATCTTTTGAACAATGACTTAGTTTATGACTTCACATAAGATATTCCTCACGTAAATGTCTTATCATCACTTATCATCACCGCTACACTGACCACACGTGAAGGAACAGTTGACCCAATAAAGATGTTGGCCACAATCTGTACGGATAGGTAGATAAACACGTCTTTACTTTATGCTCTCTGTTTTAAGAAGGAAAACTTGAATTTATGACTATAGTTACATAAGCCATTAAATGCGAAATTAATGTATTAATTAATGTAAAATTCACTATTATGGCATCAGTTGGCACTGCTTGTGAATGGATTTCCTTTCATCAGATTGTTACAGATAAACAATTGGTACAAAGAGACAATTGTCAAACCTTGCTGGCATCCTGGACCTTGTTTCCCAGTAGCACACCAACTACTACAGTGGCCAGTCTCCTTGTTACACGCTTCAGAGGCAGTGAGACATTGGCACTGTTTGTTACAGTCAGAGCCAAACCAACCATCGTTGCATTCTACAATACACAATACACACACACAATGACATTATATTTCTCAGCTGTGTATCACTGTAGTCATTTGAAAAATCACAATCACAAAACGTTTCACTGTACAAACAATGTGTGTTCAATACAACTTAATTTAGAATTACGTCCCAATTTCACATTGTGTCAAACCTTGCTGGCATCCTGGACCTTGTTTCCCAGCAGCACACCCACTACTACAGTGTCCAGTCTCCTTGTTACACGCTTCAGTTGTATCCTGACACTGGCACTGCTTGTCACAGCCATCTCCAAACCATCCATCGCTGCATTCTACAAGTACACATACTATGAGATGCAAAACAGAGCACATCTCATGGATCAGATCCAAAAGACGTTAGTAATTTGGGATCCATGTAGAACAAATATATCCTGATTATATACTCCGACTAATACCCTTTATACGTAAGTGTTGTTTGGGCTGCATGTACACAGACGCTTGGGCCGTGGACTTTTGGACCAATAGTTGAAACTGAAAAGAGCCCTTTGGGCGAACTTTTCACTACAGTCATGGAAGCCGCGTATTTGGCTGTGCTTTGAGACGGGGGAGTTGTGACATAACTTTATCGGGATAAATTGAACGGTTTCTTCGCCTCGTTCTTTGGTCTCGCAACTGTCCTTTTATAGCCCGATACAATACTGTCATTAAACAGAGTATCTATTACTTATAATTTTATCATTTAAAGACAGCTCTCATTATCATTATCCTATGTTCGTGTTTATATTGCGATGTGTTTATTCAATGCTATAAAATAATAATATGTATTGTTAATAAGTAATATGACATATCACCATGATAACTCACGGAAGATCTGCACCTCACATAGTGTCAGGAAAGTTCCAGTGACACGTATAGATACAGATGAACCACTCAAAGCTTCGCCACACTCTATATTTAGAAGAGTCTGTTGTCCAGACAATGAGTAACACAGTTTGTCACCAACCTTCACCTGAAGGCCCACGTTGCGATCAGTCCCTGTGAACAACAATCATTATGTGATGAGTGAGTGAGTGAGTGAGTTGGGTTTAACGCCGCTTTTAGCATTATTCCAGTTGTATCACGGCGTGTCAGCTTAATGTGGGAGGAAAGCGATGCAGGTCTCAGACATTTACCACTTTGGTGAAACCCACAAGCACGGGTATGGTCCTGACAAACCTAGAAACATAATCTTGGCGAACCGGTATTCGAACCCGAAATCTAGGTTTCTGGCGTGACCAAGGGACGCAACTCTGCATAGCGAATCGCGGCACCTCAGACGACTGAATATTGCTTAGTGGGCGTTCAACAACAAACAATGAAATCTCTTAAGAAAGCGACATATTGTGTAATATTCTGGAATGGGGGCTTAGGATCCTGCGACGACTAAAGGACGCAACGCACGACTACTCCTATTGGTACACACATGTCCCCCTCCTCGTGAACAGGATGTATAATATTTAAACATATGTCAGACTCACTGTCACTACGGAGATATATTCTCATCCGTCTAATCTCCAATGTGGTATTAATGTCAACACGCCACCATGCTCCTGCGGAGGTCGTGTCGCCTGTGTGCGTACAACTTCCATGCCCAAACGTTTGGTCATTGTTGCCATCGACAGCTTTGTCAGATCGAAAGGGGCCACCATATCCTTGTAATTCGCTGCTCTGCGACGTCAACTTTCCACGTGCTATGTTGCCTTTAACGAAATAGATCAAATATTAAAACACAGTCGTACTCAGCAGCATTATCGATCTAGCAAAGTCCGCACTTCGAATGCCGAACACATTGAGCATTTCAAGTTAGAAACATTTTTTTTTCAAAAGAGGTATTGAAAGGTATAGCTCAAAATCAAAACGAAGACAAAACGTACTTTTTACATCGTCGGAGTAAACGAGAACTAAACATACAAATTACCCATGCCTGACGTGATTTGTTACTGTACTGTCAGCTTCACAACGTGGCCAACCTCATTGTGGACATGCCTTTCATTTTCTGCAAACTGATACTTCAACATTTGTTGAAGTTCTCGTTTTTAAACCCTTTCTAGTACATGTTTGGATTTTGCATGTTACCTTTCACTGGTTAGTTGTTGACCACCCGACCTGTATATATCTGATTCAAATTATGCAAATTCATTAATAATTAGGTACTGGTAGATGTGTGCTATTTGGGTGAATCGGTTGTCTGAATATTAAATACGACCCATATCATCAATAAATAAAATAAATTACTATTTTGTTTGATCAGAAATATGTAAACATGTAATAACTGATGTTATTCGACAATATTTCATAATAAAGCAATTGCAAATTTTTGCTGCAGTAAAAGAAAAACATTCATATTGTAATTTTACTCACGCCTTTGGCAGTAACTCCCAAACCAGCCTGGTTGGCACAATGTTCCTGGGCAAGGAGAACCAGGGAAATTCGTGCATCCATTCTGACAGTGACAATCTTTGGTAGAACAAATAGAATGACTACGAGTATCCAATATCTCATCTTCCCGAGGTAACTGACTATAAAAGTCCAGTTTCTACCCTTGCCGAACTAGGCTGGTACTATGGAGTTACATTTTGGCTGGGCTAACGAGTCTATGCATAGTCCAATCAAAATCGCGCACCGAAATCGAAATACGGTTTGTAAAATGTCGTGCAGATTTCGGTCGATTGCAGGATTTGCAAAGCATGTGCACCGCCAACTCGTTGTCAACAGATATTTTCCAAGTCTTTTTATGTTTTTAATCAAGGTGCTCACGTGATTTGATGCACTTCGCTATGTAAAACCCGTTTTATCACAATATAGATCTTGATTATCAATCAGATCGTTTTGACTGGGCGCCACCATTTTGTTTGAGACAAATGCAATGATACGAGAGGTGAAATCTGATTGGTCCATAGGAGAGGCTTAGAAGGAACATAACTCGTAATAACCACTGGTGGCGCTACGATCGATCCCCGGAATTCCAGCCTAGTTCAGCAAGGGTGGAAACTCGACTTTTATAGTCAGTTAACTCCCTTGCCTCGGGAAGATGACAATATCTAAGCATGTCTCTTGTTTAACGTTTCCCTACAATCACCTATTTGTACACCTGTGATAGAGTTATAAAAACAACATACACTCCTCACCTAGGCACAATATGATATCTTGATAATTATGTCTTTTACTTAAGGATTGACTGTGTATTGTTTTCGGATAATTGAGGTATGAATCGAAACACCGATGTGCAAACTGTGTGATTCCGCATTGTAAGAACCTACCTTGTGAGGAGTCCGGCAGTGAGGCAAGTAGTAGAACATATATCAGAAACATCGTCCATGTGCTTGTCCAAAGAAATCTGAAAACAAATTCAGCCGAATTTAGCCAACCAGAACCACTTAACACGTAAACAGCAGGTTGATCTACATTTAACTGTTTGTGCAACTTTGAGATTGCTGGTTAACATAAAATGAATCCATCAAATCAGCTAACCTTGCTGCTCAAACCTTTTAAGATGACAAGTCATTTCCATTTTCGGGAATTAATAATTATTTAAGTTATAATGCTATAGATATCTGCACAAAGGTACTGGTAGATGCATGCATGTTATCGTCATGTCAGTGAGCCTGACCACCCGGTACCGTTAGTCGCCTCTTGTGACAAGCATGGGTTGCTGAAAACAAACACTAACCAAGGTTTTCACGAGGCTGTTTAGGATACAAACAATAAGCATACCAAACAAAAGTTGTCACAGAAGGTGACATACACCGAAGGATGAAGATATATCTCCGCTGACACTGTCCAGATCTTTCAGGAGTTTTGAGGGCTATTTCAGAACAATTCCCTTCATAATATAAATCTTTTTTTCTTTTTTGTGTGTGTCAAACTCAGCACTCAGCACTATTCCAGCTTTATGACGACGGTATAAAAATAATCGATTCATGACCAGACAAATCAGTGATTGGCCATCGTTCTATGACATTGGGACACGATGACATGCAATCACTGTGCAAGCCCACCCGACCCCGTTAGTCAGCTCTTGCGAAAATGTGTGGTCAATATGCACTGTATGAAACCGATTTCTAGTGTCCCCCAGTGTGAACTGGCGAAAAGCGACATTAAACCACACTCATTCACTCACGTACTCACTAATTCACGATACAAAGCATGTATGCATGAGGAATGCATGTCATTGATATAATCATTCTTGTGTCGTTGATATAATCATTCTTGTGATATTATAAAAAACCTTATGACCATGCATATGCAACAACGGATCTTACTATCATATATGTGTTTGTTGATAAATGAGCTAACAATTAAATATGTTGTTCCCGCTCGTGTAAAGTTGCCTCGATCTTCATAGCAGTAATAGCACTAATATGTATGTTTTAAGTTAATGTTCCAGTTCATGACAGAAGCTCCATGCGATAAGCATCTGTTCTGGGTGGTAGTTCAAATGACATGTTTATGTGTGTTTTATACTCAAGTAGACAACGCTTATCTTACTTCCTTGTCAACTTTTCAAATTCATCAATGCGCATCTTGAATAGGAAGGCACATACTTGAAAGGATGTAGGAGGGAGTTCAACTGGAATGTTGTGTCGAGTTAACAAACGCTATTCAGGACAGCCGTGACACATAAAATAGCTGTCACCATTCACGCAGCGAACACGACATGCACAGTGAAACGCGGCACCAACACTACAGTAGCAAAGTGTACATTAAGTATATAAGTTTCCTTCTGTCATCGTAAACATTTTGACATTTACCCCGTACACGCAAGGAACAAACTTGAGGTTTCGTTGATATACTTTTTCTTTAGATGATTTCAAAAAGCGTCATACAACTATAATTTTTGTTTGATCAGGGTTACAGCATTTAAAGAATTGTGTCATATGTTCCCGCGTTTGTCAAAATGAACACTTCACAAACCTTTGCATGTGAAAATGAATAACTTGAAAAACTGCGCGTTATTTTGTTGCTTGTAATCATGGACAAATACATAGACGAGGGTTGTTCCTTTATGTGTATAGATCACAACGCATAAAGCACCTCATGCTAGGATACTGTTTAAAGAAAGTGTTATTTACTTGGGCAAGCGCCTCTGGACATAATGTACCGTAAAATCCTGGATTGTGGAGGGAAACATAAAACATGACGAAGAGAGATCAGGCTAACACTTTGCGTGTTGTGGATGTATTTGGAGCCTCGCGCCTGAGACCAGGAAGTAATCTGAGTGTTGCATCAAACTGTCCGCCTCTTGAGCATACGACTCTTGACAAGGCTAAAGCTGTGTTCAAGGATTGTATCAGTTTAGAAATAGAACATTGTTAAAATATGAAATGTAGAAACACATGAAAAACTCCCTGATTGACGTATAGTTATTTGTTTATTTTCATGTTGCCTTGTTACAAGTATTTCAAGCACCATGGTGACTAAATACAATGAGTGAGTGAGTGAGTTGGGTTTAACGTCCGCTTTTAACAGTATTCCAGTTATATCGCGGCGTGTCAGCTTAATGTGGGAGGAAAGAGCGAAGTGATGCAGGTCTCAGACGTTTACCACTTCGGTGAAACCCACGAGCACGGGTATGGTGCTGACAAACCTAGAAACATAATCGGGGCGAACCGGGATTCGAATCCACAATCATAGGTTTCTGGCGTGTCCAATGGACGCAACTCTGCACAGCGAATCGCGGCGCCTTAGACGACAGGGCCACCCGTGCCCCCTTAAATACAATGAAATAAAAGGGAGGTTTCAAGAAGGAAGTACATATGTTGATATATTGTATGGTTTGAAAGTTGAAATATCAAATATTCAATTAACACCAGTCTACCTGACCAAAGTGTGTGTTAAGTAAAATCAGTTCTGATAAGAGTAGTGTTATATTTTGCTATTTTTTATTCCTTCAATAGCAAAATGTGGTTTCTTCCAAAATTGGGCAAACATTTATAGAATAACCAACCAGGTACGAGTATTTACGGAAAATATGTCAGGAGTGACATATTTTACGCAGTCAGTCGTTCCGAGTGGGTTATTCTATTTATTACCGATAATTATATTAAAGTCGTTTCGAGGGAAAAAAACCCTGTCGCCGATCAGCTGTTTTGTATCAATCCGCGTGTGAAAAAACACTGTCCATTCACTCCCAATCGCATTACTCAATTAACGTGTTGTTACCCGTGAAAAATATAGCTCTGTAAAAAAACTATAAAGATCACCTTATTGCAGTTATATTTCTGTCCGATTTACACAGCGTACGCTATCTAGCATTGATAAAGACGACAGGTTTCCAAAAAGGTTCATCAGATTTTTTAATCAAGGCTTGTTTTGACAAGATCTCGTGACTGACAGACAGCCCCCCGTCGTACATCGGCAGAGACATGCATTTCACATTGAGAAGAGGAAACATGGAAAACCTGTCAAATGCACAGAAGTCTTGTTTGTTAGAGAAAAGTGACGAAAAGAAGGTAAACTTTGGAAAGTACGATTGCTGTCACAGTGTCGGAATGAATGGCCCGACTTGACCCAGATATGAGACAGCCGAAACCAGGAATGACAAGAGAACCGGCGTTACATCCGGACAAGTTTAATGAACATCGTGTGTGATTTGAGACAAGTGTGACTGATGGGAAACATGTGCATGTGAGATTTTAGGAGGACTTGTCAAACGCGCTGTTGGAGTGGACAGAGTCAGATGACGGGAGTTTGTTGATATTTTGATGTGATTCATAAAGGTCGAATGCCTGTTGATAACACGGTTGATAACACGGTATCCGGTGCCAAGCTGTCAGCATTCACAGAGTTCGTTTAGGTTAGTTCAATATCGGACACATGATCAGCTCGCTGGGGTAAGTTTTCCTTGCACTTATTTTTGTTTTGATTTCCAAGTCCAGTAAAGTGCATCGATTTCGCAACCACATGTAGGTAATCTTGTCGCTAAGGTAACACTCTTTGCTACCCTTGATCTCCTTCAAAGTCCTTCTGAACCGTCTGATGTGCATGCCGAAATGATAAATTTGCAAAGAATAATGTTTAGTTGCACCTTTCCTGTGTCATTAACCCTCATGGTGCCTGTACGTCAGTCAGCCTGCAAACCGCTCACCGACGTACTGTGCTGACGTCGCGGTTACAAAAACGTATACATTGTATAAAAAGTGTCATTTCTTATTTTTTCTCACAACGTTACAAAATTCTACGAAATAGTGTATCTTTAGAATGTCTTTCGGAAAGTCTGAATGTTGTTGCAAAATGAATTTGTTTTTATTCTCATGCCATCATTGAAAGTGTGAGTAGTCCTATTTTCGTGTTTTTCTTACCTGTATAGATTTGCGACTAAGTTCATGTCAACTTGTCAAGGTTAGTCTTTTTCCTTGTGTTTTCATTTTCATTGGCAGTTATCGATGTCAACAGCGTTCACAAAGGCAAACCTGTCTGTACTAAGTCCGGTTTTTGGATTCGGTTGGTCGAAACATTCATCGAACAGCAAGTCCTCTAACACAGACGCAAACGCGGACTTTGTGGTAATGATCTTGGCGCACTGGAAACAGTTTCTGGCAACATCACAATCTGAATGTTGAAACTTTAATCTGGCCATATATAGTTTTGACAACAAAGACATTAAATGTGTTCAGAGGTTGAACTAGACGAATATTTCTTCATGTCGGTCAAATCTCCATCCGCTTTAATGAGGTAATATACTTTGACAGGTGTCAAATGGCCAGCAATGTTTATTTACAAACGCAGACATACAATGTAGTTTTGGTTTTTACTGTCAAACGAAAATCATGTGAAATAATGTGGTTCATATGAAACTATGTTTATTGTCTTAAAAATAAACCTCGAGTCAGTGAGATAGTAGCACGTAAAACATATAGAGGGAAAGGCGTGGATTTGTGAATGAATGGGGTGCGAAAAAAATAGTTCTGTTGTCGAATGAAAATTGATCTTTGTTCAACTGACCAATCAGCTTCGAGAATCACTGTGCAAATATAAAAAAGTTCACCATGAATCTACCTTTCTATAAGAGTCTGGAGCATAAACATATAATCAGTGGTAGAGTAAGCTTGTCAGGATCATGTTTGCTCTTCGATCTTATCAAGGGTATCCGACTACAATACTTAGCGTTTGTTAATAATGTTAATGAGTATCTTACTAAATATACTAGTAAGTTGAATCCCCTGTAACCTCTGTCACCGAACCTTTCTTGTGAATTGGAACCATAGTTCCAAGTGTCCAATCTTTTGGAAGAAAGAGGTAGCCATCATTGTATTAAATAATAGTGTCATCAAAATTCAGTTTCGGGGTCCATGTTTCTGTCAAACCAATTATGTCAAATTAGTTTTGAAACTCAAG